TTTATTTTCTTTCTCACTGGATGAGATGGAATCTCAGTGTGGCTTTGATTTGCATTTCCTTCATGGCCAAGGATGTTGAGCATTTCTTCATGTGCATATTGGACGTTTGTGGTTTTTTTCTTTTCAGAACTGTCTTTTCGATTCACTTGCCCATTTACTGATTAGATTATTTGTTCTTTTGATGCTTAATTTTTTTGAGCTTACTCTGGATATTAATCCTTTGATAATTAGCTTGTAGAGATTTTCTCACATTCTGTGGTCTGCTGTCTCTTCATTCTGGTAATTTTTTCCTTTGATGTGCAGAACTTTTTAATTTGGTGCAGTACCATTTGTCAATTCTTAATCTTATTTCCTGAGCAATTGGAGTCCTGTTCAGAAAACAGTTGCCTATGCCTATAAGTGTTTCCTCTTTTACTGTAGTAGTTTCAAACTTTCAGGTCTTACATGAAGATTTTTGATCCATTTTGAACTAATTTTTGTATAGAGCAAAAGATAGAACTCTAGTTTCAGTCTTCTACAAGAAGATATCCAGTTATCCCAATACCATTTTTTGAACAGGCTGTCTTGTGTCCAACATATATTTTTGGCTCCTTTGTATGGGTTTTTTTAATGGGTCATCTGTTCCAGTGGTGCCATATTTTTGTGCTATTACTATGCTGGTTTTGTTACTATGGCCCTGTAGTATAATTTGAAATCAGGATTTGTGATTCCACTAGCATATCTCTCTTTGCTCAGAATTGCTTTTGCTATTTGGGGATCTTTTGTGGTACCATATGAATTTTAAGGTTGATTTTTCTATTTTTGTGAAGAGTGACATTGGGGTTTTTATGGGGATTGCATTGAATCTGTAGCTTGCTTTTGGTAGAATAGCCATTTTCAAAATATTAATTCTGCCAACCTTTAAACATGTGAGGTCTTTCAAATTTTTAAGGTTGTTCTTCAATTTCTTTCTTCTGTGTTTTATAATTTTCATGGTAAATGTCTTTCACTCCCTTGGTTAAGTTTATTCTTAGGACGTTTTTTTAGGCTATTGTAAATGAGGAAGTTATCCTGATTTCTTTCCCAGTTTGTTCATTATTGGTATGTAGGGGTTTTTGTTTGTTTGTTTGTTTTTGTAGAACTGGAGCTTGGACTCAGGATAATTTGACTTCTTCCTTTTCATTTGCATCCATTTATTCATTCTCTCACCTATTGCTGTGTTGGAATCCAAAGCAATATATTCAATAAATTGAAGATGAAACCCATTCTCATTCTGACCTTTAAAGGAAAGGTTCATTTTCTCCATTTATATATGCCTTGCTATAGTATTCATTATTAAGCCTTTGTTACATTAATTGATACCTTAAATCTATACAAAGTTTTTCAGATTATCATAAAGAATATCGCATAATATTGGCAAAGCTTCTTCCTGTTATCTATAAAGTATCATAAGATTTGTCCTTTAATTCTTTTCTTTGCCTTTTATTTATTGATTGTTTTTAAACCATCTTGCTTGCCTGGAATAAAACCAACTTGTTGAAAGTATGAATTTTTTAATATGTTGTTAAATTTAGTTTGCAAGTATTTTATTAAGATTTTTGTCTCTACATTCATCAAAGAAATTGGTCTGTAATTTTTTGTGTTGTATCCTTGTCCAGTTTTGGCATCAGGGTAATACTTGCCTCCTAGAATGACTCACATCCATTTTTGGAATTGTTTAGAGTAATGAATTAGTTCTTCCAATGTTTGTAAATTCAGCATGCCATCTGAGTTCCACTTCATTTGCTGGAAGACTTTATTATGCTTCAATCTCATTGAAGCAATCTCATTGACTTTCCCTAAAGCATCCATGGAGCATGTGCCCTAAGAAATTATACTTTTCTTTTATTTCCCAGGTTTATATAGTTTGGAACAGTCCTAATGAACATCTAGAGTTTTCATGGTACTTTGCTTGACAGCCCCTTTACCACCCTAATTTCTATTATTTAGATCTTTCTCATCTTTCTTTATAATTTGTCTAAGGGGTATCATCTGGTTCGTTCAAAAACAAGTTTTTTTATTATTTTTGTATTGCTTTTTTTTAATCTCCATTAATTTCTGCCCTAGTCTTTTTCTCGTTTTACTGGCCTACAACTGGATTGTTTGTTCTTATCTTTTCTTAACGAATAAGCTGCATCATTAGTATTGACTTGAATCTCGCTGAGTTCAGCACTGAGTAACTCCAGGCCCATGGCTCACTAGCAGGTCTTAACACTTGAGCACGTTGTACCATCCCTTCTTTTTACTGTACACCTCATGCTAACATCTCTTAGCATGCCTCGTTGGGTAATTCCTAATGTTCTTGGAATGTTTTTTTTCATATCATATTGACTTCTAGGGTTTTATCTTTCCTCCTATTTTCTTAATGATTCACTGTCATCCAACGACACTAATACGTTTCATCCTCATCTTTTTAGACCATTTTTGAATTTCTAATGTTTTGTTCTAATTTTTTATTGTGGTCTATAAATTATAGATAGGTTATTTCATTTGTATTTTAAGATTTGATTTATTTCAAAATGATGGACCTTATTTTGACCAAAACCATGGGCTGCTAGAGAAATATTTATGTGCAGCTGTTAAGTGAAATATTCTTCATCTGTCTGTTAAGAATTTGATCTATAGTACTGTCTAATTCTAATTGTTAAGTTTCCTTGTTGATTCTTTTTTTCTGGATGTCCTATCTATGTAGATTGTTTTATATGTCCTGGGGTCAATACTGCTTTACATTCATAGGTGTCTGTTTTTAATGAAATGTATGCTGTCATTCAGTGTATATGTTTTCTATTGTCATCTCCTCTCTATGGGCTGTTCCTTTCATCAATACAATATGTGCTTCTCTGCCTCTTCTGTCTAATTTTTGTTTGAAGTCTGCCTTGTCACATATGAATATAGCTACTCTTGCTTGCTCCCAGGCTCCATTTGCTTGGAATAACTTCTTTCATCCTTTCATGTTAAGACTCTGTCTTTGCTAGGGAGGTATGTTTCTTGTAGAACACAAATTTTGGGGTTTATTTTTTAATCCAACCCACAAGTCTTTGTCTTTTGATTGGAGAATTAAGACCATTGATATTTAAAGAATTATTGTTGAATGGCATATAGTAATTCCTGCCAATTTGTTGTTTAGGTGTATGATTTTCCTATCTCTCATCTGCTTACTTATTTGTCTAGTGAGATACATTCTTTCTCATATTTTCATGGCTGCATTTGTTTTCTTCTGTGTGTAGGATTTTTTAAAGTATCTTCTGCAGTGCTGATTCAGAGTCACGTTCATTACGTTTTTTGTCATCTAGATCTATGTTCTCCTTTAATATATAAAAAATAGTATGGTGATACAGGATCTAGGTTGCATTATTTTCTTGCAGGCTTGAAATAGTAATCCATCCTTCTTGCTTGCAGGTTTTGTGGGAAAATCTCTGCTTATTTCTAGTGAGCTTGCTTAATGTACTTGGTGACTCCGGCTTGCCACTGTTCATGATTTTCTGTTCTGTGTTTTTAATGGTTTAACTATAATGTCTTGGAAAGGCATCGTTGTTGGGTGTCCCAAATGCCCCATGCCTGGATGACTATCTCGTTCTCAATATTTGGGATATTTTCTGCTATTATTTTATTGAATATGTTTTCTGTGCCTTTAGCTTGCACCTCTTTTCCTCACCTATGCCTATGATTTGTATGTCTTTTAATGTCTCAGACATCACACATTCTGTTCATACTCATTTATTTTCCTATGTTCTAACATATATACCTTGCCTTTAAGTCCTGATATTCTGTTTTAAATTTGAGACTTTCAACTGAGTATTTTTTTATTTGACTTATTGAGAGTTTTGTTTCAAGAATTTCTATTTAATTTGTTTCAAGATTTCAAGATCTTTATTGAGTTCCTCTTTCATATCCTGCATTGTCTTCTTTATTACGTGTAGCTATTTATTTGAATTTTCTTTGAATATATTCGGTTGTTTATTTGTATTCTCTTTGAATTCATTTATATATATATATTATATATATATATATTTAATTTCATTGATCATTCTTATTATCATTCACCCACCTGAAAGACTGATCAGTCTGCTGCTCTTGGTCACTTCCCTGGAGTTCCTGGAGATAGGTGCTTTTAGTCTGCTATCTCAGCTGAAATCTCCACACTTGTTTCCAAAGTGCAATTTTAGGGGCTGAGTGTAATGGTACACACCCATAATCCCAGCTAATCAGAAGGTGGAGATCTGGAGGAAAGAGTTTCAAGGCTAGTTCAGATAAAGTTCATGAGACTCCATCTCCATCAGTAATCTGAGCACAGAGGTATGCGTGGGCCCGTCATCTCAGCTATGTTGGGGGGAGGCATAAGTAAGAGGATCACAATCTGAGGCCAGCCCCAGGCAAAAACACAAGACCTATCTGAAAAATAATTAAATCCAAAAGGGCTGCTGGTATAGCTCAAGTGGTAAAACTCCTGCTTAGAAAGCTCCAGGTCCTGAATTCAAACCCCAGTACATCCAAAAGAAAAAAAGTGCAATTATAAGAAACCATCTGAAATCAGGAATATGGAGCATTCATAGTGACAAGAAAGACATTTGATTTAATAAAAGAACACAGCTGTGAATGTAATTGTGTGTGTGTTAATACTGCAGTCATCATTACAGTTGTGTGTAGAGTACACTTCTGTTCCTTTGCCAAGAAATGGTGTCCTCTTTCCTTACAAAACTGAGTTCAGCAGTGACTCATAGAGGCAAAAGACATGCAAATTTAAAACACCAGGAAAAATTTTGAACCCTGGAGTAGAGCTATTATCTAAATATCTATGGATCAGAATGCCCTGTGCCTGCAGAATTTCCTGTGTGGATAGCCCAAGTCTCCAACCTTACAGAGAAAAAAAGTTAGATGCTATCTGCCTATATATTGGTCATATTTGGGTTGTAGCTACTGTGACTATTTCACAAACCATTATTTTAACTTCCTCTCATTCCCCTCTTCACTATTCCTTCCAGTGCTGCAAATATTCCAGGATACACTGGCAAGGTTCACTTCACAGCCACCCACCCAGCAAATTCTAATATTCCACCAGCAATCCCATCAGACGATTCAGAACTGAACTGGTAAGTAGGAGTCCTATTACTCAATTTGGTCACATACATAGTAGGAGGGAATCCTAATTATGGTATTCCACTAAAGAACAATTAAATACTAAGAGCAAATTTACATTGCTTAAGAAAAATGGGGCATTGGATCCAAAAAAGTGGGTAGTTCATTTTCATACTGATCAGAATTTTATTACACCTTCTGCATGTTTTCTTTATGAATCTTGCTCAAAATTATATTGAAAAACAAGCGTGGATTAATGTTCATATTGACATTGCTAAAAAGGGCACTTTAGCACACTTAGAGCCTGTTAGAGGATGAGATCTTTGCCTCCCAGATTCACAGTTTTGCTTCTTGTATCTTCAGAGATGCTATACTGTACCTACATTAGACACATTTACTTATGAATAACCACCATTTTTTTTATAAACAACAACATTCTGTAGAAAGTCACATGTGCTTTTAAACCTTGGTTTTTGCAAATTGACAACAGAAGACAATAGATGGAGTAATGGAGGATTACTTTCTTAGAAGCCACCAGTGAAAAGCAGCATGTTGTTTCTCCTTATAATGCAAATGTGAAAGCATTTGATGGAAGTCCTTGCCTTGCAAAAAAAAAAAAAAGATGACATAGTTTTGAAAATGCAACCTGAAGCTAGAGGTTGGCCAAGCGCCAATGAATAAGCTAAGATGGCAGGACAGCCGTGAGGGGAGAAGGGGTAGGACAGGATGAACAGCTCTCCATCACCAAGGTACCTTTTTCTCTTAGATCACATTCTTTGGGTAGAGGATCTGTTCATTTATCACACATTTATGGAACATCCACTCAGGGCAAGGCTGTTTGAGGCACTGAGTACACAGGGTGGAACAGAAAAGACCCCAGCTCACACACACTTATGTCCCAGGGTGGAAGATAGATGGTAGAGAAGTGAAGTGCACATAACTGAAGAAATAAAGTAACCTTGGTGGTGACTGTGCTGTGAGGAAGGACAGGCTGGTGTCATAGAAAATCTGAAAGTGTTGCTGCCATCTTGGCCGTGGATGACTTTGATATGACTGTCAAGCAGACTCCTACCTCCGTGCATGGTGGCTGTGAGTGGAGGCAATCGCCATGAACTGGCTGCTTGGGCAGTGGTTCTCAGTTTACCCAGCTTTCAACTACTCATTCACTCATTATCTGGTTAATTCATATGGTTTTTGATTAAGTCAACAAATGTTGACTGTGCTGTAGTAATCCACAGGGGCTAAGCCTGTGTACAGAGAGCTTGGGTTCTTGTGGGGAACAAGAAAGAAACAACCACAACAGAGGCCAGCATCATATACTAACAATCACTTCCTTGAATCCAGTGCTTCTAGACCACTGGCACTCCAGTTGGAGTGTGACACCCTCTGATTCATGTCACTGCCCCAGTGTTCTGTGATGAAGGGGCTGTTAACTATCCAAATTTTACAGATAAGGAAAGCGAGGCACACACAAGCTGCAAGAAGGTAGGGAGTGCTGAAGAAGACCTCACAGAAGTGGCTCAAGAGTTAACCCTTGGAGGAATGGGGCTGGGCTGAAGGGGGCAAGGTTCAGCCATGGTGCAGGGAGCCCAGCCTGTTGAGGGCAGGAAAGGAATCTAAGGAGGATAGCCTCAGGGCCACTTCCAGCCTTCTGTGTGCCACTGTGTACAGGCCTTCTATATATACCACAAGCCCCACGTGTGGCCTTTCATAAGGGCAAGGATGAAAGAAAAGGAAAACAAAGGGGGGAGGAGGGGAGGGGAGGGGAAGGGAAGGGAGGGGAAGGAAGGGGAGGGGAAGGGAGGAGAGGTACCAACTGGCAGAGGGCATCCTCCAGTTAATCTAAATTTCTGGTTTGATGGTTTGTGTAGACTTTCCACCCATCTGAAAAGTATGTCATTGGCTTTCCAGAGTAATATTTTGCCTTCAATTTGCTCTCAGCACATTTTTCCCAGTCTCAATATTTTCACCTGTAATTTTAAAAATAAATTTTATTGTGTATAGCCAAGGTAACAAGATGCTATGGACTCGTATAGATGGTAAAAATGGTTACAACAGTGAAACAAGTAGACGAACCCATCCTCTCAACTGGCTACCCATTCCCTCTCCTTCCCCATGGCAGCAGCAGTTCAAATCTACTCATGTAGCAAAAATTCGAAATATAATACAGGATTATTCCCTATAGTCCTCATATAGATCCCTAGATTTGTTTCTCCTATGTACATCTACATTTTATCCTTCGACCTACATCTCTCCCACAGCCCAACCTTCATAACCACTGTTTTGCTCTCTGTCTTCCTATATTTGGCCTTTAAAAAAAGATTTCACATATAAGTGAGATCGCGCAATCTTGTTCTTCTGTGTCTGGCTTGTTTCACTTAGCATAATGTTCTGTAGGTTCATACAGGCAAATATCAGAATCTCCTCCCTTTTCAGTCTAAATAAATATTCCAATGGGATTTAAATGTATATATATGCTTTATATATATATATATATATTTACAGAGCATGTATTCTCTATTCATTCATCCATCAATGAACACCTAGATTGACTTCATATCTTAGTTGTGGTGAATATGAGGTTTCAGATATCTTGATGAGATGGTTTTTATCTTCTTTGGATATATACTGTGTGCCAAGATTATTGGTAGTTCTATTTATATTTTTTGAGAGTCTTCAGTGCTTTTTTCCATAATGGCTACATCAATCTACATTTCACCCAATAATGTGGAAGGGTTTCTTTATCCCCACATTCTCACCAGCACCTGTTATCTTTCATCTTTTTGATAATAGTTATCCTAATGTGTGAGCTGATATCTGATTGTGGTTTCTACTTGCATTTCTCTGATGATTAGTGTATATTTACCATTTTTCACATACCTGTTGGGTATTTAAAGAAATGTTCATTCGTGTCTTATACTCATTTTTTAAATTGGGTTTTATGTGTTTTTGCCATAGAGTTGATGAGTTCTTTATAAGTTTTGGATATTGACCCCTTATCATATATGTAGTTTGCGAGTATTTTTTCCCAATCCATACATTGACTTCTTGTTTTTCTGATTGTTTCTTTACTGTGCAGAAGCTACTTGGTTTGATATAATACTATTTATTTTTTATTTTGTAGCCTGAGCTTTTGGTGTGCATCTAAAAAAATTAATTGTCATTTTGAAATGTTACATTTCCATTTTCAAAGGCAGGACAAGTGGACATTTAGAGAGTTAACATATTTTACTACATATGAAGTTCATCTTTGAAAGATCCCATCTTTCAAAGACGCTGGACATGGTAGTGTGTGCCTGTCATTCCTACTGTAACGAAAAGCCTAAAATAGGAGGATCGTGGTCCAGACCAGCCTGGACAAGAAAGCAAGACCCTATCTCCAAAACAACCAGAGCAAAAAAGGGCTGGAGGCATGACATGGCTAGGCTGGAGCACCTGCCTAGCAAGTTGGAAGTCCTGAATTCAAACATCACTACCACAAAAAAAGTCAAAATTAAATGTATCTGTATATCTGTCATCTAGATTTTTCTGTCCAAAAAGGAGATAGGATAAAATCACGTGGCTGGTTCACGATTTAGGAGAAATCCAATTCAAAGATCTTCATCAGAGCAAAGGCAAACTGTTCTAATCCTTCACCTTCCTGTTCACACTCAGTGTTATCACCCCAAATATCTGACACCCTGCCCAGACATCCTGTTGCTTTAACACATCCCCACAGCCACATAAGTAAACCATCATAGAGGGTCCTTTTTATATTTCAGATAAATCACTACTTCAAGTGGAAAACTGTTTTTTAATGTTGCAACCAGAGAGAAGAGTTCAAGTCTCTCACGGGGAGGCTCACATCCAGATTCAGAGTCGAGGCTACCCAATGGGAGTTCCTCACCATTGCCCCCAGCACACACACACTAAACACTTGGATATCATCTGTCATCCCAGAGTGGGGACAGGGGGCTTTCTCTCCACTACGCCTCACAGCAACTCCTGGTAAGTGTAGTGCTCTGGCATGAGAAAGAGCAGTGAGGAAGGAGTAGGGAGATTTCAAATTTAACACCTCCCTGTGTTCACATAAAGACCATGGCCCCTAGTCAGAAGGTGCCTGTTTGCATCTAGCCTGGCCCTTAGAATCAAGAAAATTGGGCTCTTCACCAAGAAGTGTGGCTTCTGATTTTTTGTGGTACTATTTTTAATTTTTTTTCTAAGAAGTTCCAGTGAAAGTGTGAACCCAGGTGTCTGTCTGTTGAGATCATGAGAACACATGCAAATTCTTCCTGATTGTGCCTGCTTGAGCTGATGCAATTTCCCTGACCCTTCTTTCCTGCCATCCCCTGGGACTCCTAAATCTCAGCCTCTGTAACCTGGTCCTCTCCCAATAGGAGCCATGGTGGCCATCCTCAAATTGTTCTGATTCTGGTTCTTTCCCTATATCCTTGTCAAGAAATCTGGGCTGTTCATGATGACCACTTCATCTCCTCTGCCACTGTGCCCTCCTCCATCCCTACTCTGAACCTCTCCTTCCATCACTGCTCCTAGCCTTGCTTCCCAGGAAGACATGCTCTCACTAACTGTAAGGCTCATCTTTCCCCTGAGCCCTGGGTCCTGTTCAATGATGCCTCCTCCCTGCTTCCTCTGTGTCTGGCTCCTCCAGCCCATCAGGTGCTTATCAAAACCTCCAGTCTCCCACTGACCCTGTCTGTTTCTCAGCTGCCCTCCTGTCTCTCTGCTTTCTTTCCTTGTCCTTCTAAACTTTTTTTAAAGAAGCAAGCAGCTGGTCGAGAGGCTCAAGTAGTGGGTCTGTCTGAGGTAACTACCGGAGGCTAGGAGGGAGAGGGGAAGAAAATGTTTGAGAATGAAAAACATTGAAACAACCCAGCTACATAAGAAAATAATATAACATAAAGCACCATAAATTGTTGAATACTAGAGGAGCAGGGTGATAGAGAATGAGTAAGTAATGGGGGGTTTATTTCATTAAAGCATGATATATGCAGGTCTGAAGTGCCAAGGTGAAACCCCCTTGGACTATCAATATACAGTTATAAAGAAATTAAGGATGGGGGTAAATCATATCTTTTCCAGGGGTGGGCACCAGTTGGGGGGAGAGGACATAAGGAAAAGATGAATGAGGGTAAACATGGTGGATGTATTTTGTATTCATATACAAAAATAGAAAGAGGAATGAAACCTGTTGAAATTGCTCTAACAAGGGGTGGGGGAGAATGATGGAGGGGATAAATCTAACTAAGATCTATTGTAAATACATATGTAAACATCACAGTGTATCCCCTGTACAACTATTATATTCTAATAAAAATATGAATAAACTAACAAATAAATAAGCAAGCATCAACTCTCCTGGCTCCCTGCATGTACTCCCTCCCAGCTGGTTCTCCTTGGCCTTTTATCCTCTGGGTTATAATACCACCAGAGAAGTGAAGCCCTCCTGCCTGCTTGCTTGATGGTGGACTGACAGAGGACAGGAGAGTGGCTACTCTCTATCTTCATGCAGAGAGCAGGGGCAGTGCATTTGCTATGGATCTCTGTAGTTAAGCAACACTGCAGTGGTGGCTTTGGAGTTTTAAATGGCGAAGGCTTTGAAAGTCAAGGCCAAGGAATGTCCAGCTCACATTTGCAACCAGGTGCACAGGCTCCCCACTGTACCTGGTGTCTGAGGTTTTGTGGGCTTGCTCATGATGGTTGGTACAACACATGCCAGCACTGGCACCATCACCTCTAAGCAAGACAATGAGTTTGGGGACCCCAAGGATAAAACATCATGGGCATTCTGCATCTTCACAGTTTTGCATTTCCTTTAATTCTTACAACAGATTTGAAAGGGCAGATTTACTCCTCCTATGCAGACTAGCAAACTACGTCCCAGTGGGACTACAGCTCTGAGTAAGCAGATGGCTTCAACTCCACAGAAAGAGGGAAGCCCACATTACCAGCCCCTGCTCCTCACCTCACTTGTGGACGCATTCAGTCAGCCCCGCTTCTCTCTCTCCCACACCAACCTCTCCCCAGGCCCAGTCCCCTCCATCCATGTCTTCTCCATATCCTTCCTTGGCCCCTGCCTCTCTGAGGAAGTTCTATGGTGGAGCCCTTCCTTACCCCAGGGTCCTCTCAGCACCCTGGCCCACATCATCAAGGACTTTCTGCAGTAGCATCCATTAATTGACTGCCTGTCTCTTGGTTCACCTCCTTTCTTAGTATCTAGCACACTTCAGGCACAGAGATTTCTAAGAACTGGAACAGAACATATATAATGTTTGCAATGTGGCAAGGAAACTGAAGGCACATGCCCTTAATCATTCCCCACCTCTCCTTTGCTCTTCCTCCATCTCCTGCCTGCCTCTCTCTCCCCTCTCTCTATTCCTCACCCTCTTGTGTGCCTCTCTCTCCCTCTCTCTCTGTCTCACCTCCCCCCTTTCTCTTCCCTCTTGCTGTCCCATCTCTCTCCCTTTCTCTCCTCTGTGTGTCTCCCTCTATCCTCTCTCCTTTCTCCCTTCCTCTCTCCTTTCTCCCTCTTTACCTCTCTCTTTTCTCTTTTCTATCTCCTCCTCCCTCTCCTTATTCCTCTCCCTCTCTATGTCTCTCTCTCCTTCTCTCTCACTCTCACTCTCTCCTCTCTGACTCTCTCCTTCCTCCCTCCCTTTCTCTCTCTTTCTCCCTCACTCTCTCTCCTCTCTCACCTCTTTCTCCTCTCTCCCTCATTTATGTGTATCTGTGTGCCATTAGTTGGAGAATAAGTGAGGTTACATGCTTTTACATTGACTTTAATGTCATTTTTTCTCTTCTTTTTCCATATGTCCTAGCATCTTATGGGAAGAAATGGGAACTGACCTCTTCCGTCACCAGGCACCACTGTCCCGAATGGTCACCACTGTGAAACCCTACAACCCTTTCAACAGGAAGGAAAAAGAAACTATAGACTACTGAAGGAGATGACAGCCCGTAGTGTCTCCCAAGCCTCCACTGTGGGGAAGGCACGGTACACAGTGCGGTGGGGAAATAAAAGAGCCTGGCAGGTTCTATGTGCTTCTGTGTGAATCAGGTGTGTCCAGGCCCAGCCTCAGGCAATGTCCTCTCCCATACAGCCTCAGGCAATGGGCCTCTTAGCCTGGCCCAAAATAGACTAGTCCAGGATGGCAGCTGAGACCCTGGAAGCCAGCACAAGAGAATCTTGCTGTAGAAGACTCCTCTTCAGGGCTGGAATGTCAGGCCTCCCTAGAAGTCTCCTTCCATGCCATGTTAATTCAAGCCATGGACTGCCAATGGAAAAAGTGCGCCATGTAGAGACAATGGCATTCTTTCTGTCACATGGAAGAAGTCAGGTGACATTTACATGCACAGAGGCAAACCCTCTCTTTCCCTACCCCAGTATTTCTCTTCTGGAGAGAGAAGCATCCTCAGGCTCCTTGAGGGTCCTCAGGCAGGAAGGACCACTCATATCCACCTTCAGGTTAGAGTGTGACCCAACTGAGTTGTAACCAAAGAGAACCCCAATGGCAGGTTCCCTCCAGTGTACAAGTGGGCTGTGAGCCACACCAATGGTTTCTCCAATACATTTGCACTCACAGGTGCATCTGTGCAGCATGCTAGAGCTCCCTAAGTGCTTTCAAATTTTAGCTCATTTGATTTTGCAACCCTGTAATAAGACATTTGGGGGGGTGGGCAGTACTGGGTTTTGAACTCAGGTCTTCAAGCTTGTGAGGGTAGATGTCTACTGCTTGGGCCACACCCTGAGTCGTTTTTGCTCTGGTTATTTTGGAGATAGGATCTCACTTTTTGCCCAGGCTGGTCTCAAACCATGATCTTCCCAATCTAAACCTCCCATGTAGCTAGGAGTAGGCATGAGACACCAGTGTTAGGCTTCCTGGAATAAATTCAGATAGCAGACATTTTATGCATGTCTTACTATTTTATGAATAGAATGCGCGGAGCCTAAGAGAAGTGAGATATTTATCTGGAACTCAGGTTTTCCAACTTTAGATATCTTACATGACCCTCTCTCTGTCTCTATAGATTGGATAACCTTTCCCAAATCATTAAAAATTAAAACAATAAAAAAGAAAAGAAAAACTTCTTGTGTTTCTAGAGTTTTCTGAAGTGTATCTCAGATGTTCAATTTGACATCTTCCCAAAGAACAGGATATCTGTTCCACAGAACCCCAAGAAAATGTACAAAGGCTGTGGAGGGTAGTCTGCCCCTTCTTTTCACAGAGAAAGGGGAAATTCAGCTTTTGTGTGATGAGATAATGTAATATTTCAGTGGAAAGAAACAGAGTCTGATCTTGATTCTTCTGCCAGGATGAACAGAAAGACTAGCTCCCATCAATCCATCCTGATGATCTGACTTGCCTTTGAGGAAAAGGAATGACTTCATTTGAACCCAATCTTGAAGTCTAAGTATATTCAGAAATAACATTTCTGTCAAAAAAATTAATAAATTAAGGCCAAAATAAAAATCTCCAGTTCTAGAAGATTCTCAGCGTAACACAAATTGTATGGTATTAGCATTTTCAGGCAGGTAGATTAATGCCAGCACCTGAGATTATGCTTTTTTTTTTGTAAATGTCCTTGGCAGTTCACTTTGTCACAGGTATTGTTGCTCATCACTCAGGCACTTGTTCATCCTTCTGGGTCTTTCCATGGCAGGGCACCAGTAACCTCCTCTTGTGAGCTAAGATCATTTTTCCAACTCCAAAGCTGCTTCATCCAGGAGAAGAGAGATGATGACTCTCCACTCACTTCACATTCATCAAAACAAAAATCTTGCTTATCTCAAACTTAGCATCTTAGCCAGCCATGCCCATAGAGAACAGAAGAACACCAGTGTTCCTGGCCATACCTGTGGGTGTAAGTCGTAATATTTGGGCTTCTGAGATCAGCAGTCTAGCCAGAAGTCCTAAAATCAAGAAAGACAGTCAGAGGGACTGTCTTTAAATTCTGTACTCTGGTCTTTGGTCATTTCTGATGCAACAGGAGCCGCATGAGGGCACCTCAATAGTTTACCTTCTCCTCGCTCTCCACCCCCAGCCACAGTCTTACCTGCACTGTCACTCCTTCAGCTTTTATTTATCATCAGGGATGGTAAATAAAATAAAATAAATAAAGAGAACCTGTAATTTTTTTAAATAATTCATTAGAAATTATAGGATTCCAGTTCCATCCACTTACCTGCAAGTGACAAAATTTCATTTTTCTTTGTGCTGAATAAAATTCCATTGTGTATAAATACCACATTTTCTTAGTCCATTCATTAGTAGTGGGGTATCTTGGCTGTTTCCATGGCATGGCTATTGTGAATAATGCTGCAATAAACATGGGTGTGCAGGTGTCTTTGTAATAACCTGAGTCTGGAACTGGAGAACATCATCTTAAGCAAAGTTAGCCAGGCTCAGAAGGCCAAAAAATCATATGTTCTTCCTCATATACAGATTATAGACCCAAAACAAATGCAGTGATATTATTGACATGGGTCACACACTAAGGGTAGAATGAGCACGGGAGGAATAGGAATAAGGGAGGAAACCTAAAACTTGAATATGGTTGATGTGCTCACTGTAGAAGAGTGAATAAAGTAATCTTAAACTGGCAGAGGCCACTATGGGAAGGGGTCCAGGAAGTAGTGAAGAGGTGTGGTAGAGATGACCCAATGTAGGTTGCATAACACATGTCCATGGAAGCAACGCTAGGAGTCTCCCTGTATAGCTATCCTTATCTCGAAACTAGCAAAAACGCCATTTAAAAAAATTATCTTTCATGTTTTTTCTTCAACAAAATTGAAGAACAAGAGGTCAGAACAGGTTCTTCCCAGAGGGTAGGGGGAGGAGGGAGGTGGCCCAAACAATTTATACACATGTAAGTAAACGTAAAATCGATAAAATAAAATTTAAAAAAAGAAGCTATAGGATTTATCTGAAAGAAAAAATATGTTAATAACCTTACTTTAGCTAATTTTATAATACAACATCATAAAAGTATTATATAAGAAAAATAATATGAAAAATATGATCCTCGTGATAGAGCAGAATAGAAAATTTAGAAATGAACAGGTGGAATCATCTTAAATCCATAAGTACACCATATAGTATATTAGGATTGAAAATAACAGAAAAGGTAAATCCGTAAACAAATACGTCCTGGGATACAGAATGAAATAGGTAATTTGCAGCCTAGATAGATTACCTGGACATTCAGAGGAACTGGAGTATTAGGTGTGGTGTGGTGTGCGTGTGCCTGTGTGTATGTGTGTGCATGTGGGAATGTGTGAGTGCCTGTGTGTGTGAATGCGTTCACAGGTATGACCCCCTGGGTATGTGTGTGTTCACATGTGTGATTGCTTCAGTGTGTGTGTGTATATGTGTGTGTACATGTGTTTGTGTGCATATGTGTGTGAGTGCCTCTGTGAGTACCTATACATGTGTAAAATATTTCCAAAGTTGAAATTTTTTAACATAAAAAGTACCATCAAAAATTTTAAAGCAAACCTGTTAGAAAAATATATCAGGCAATGAATTCTTATTCTCTAATGAGACAGCCTATAATTTTTTAAATGCATCCACCAATAGAGTGAAGGCAAAGGATATTAACAAAAAAAACCTAAAAAGAAGCAATGTGAGTGACCAATGAACACACTATTTATGCTTCTGCCCTGTTACTGCACTAAGAGTTGGAGCTGTGAGAAGATAGAGGGGTCTTAATGTCGCCCTCGTGGGGTGGACATTGGTAATAACTTGCAAACTGTTGGAAGCACCTGTACAAGTGTCATAACTTTCTATCTAGCAATTTCATTTTTAGGATTTTGTCAAGCAAATAATTGTACAATTGAGCAAACATGCTTGCTTCAAGAAGAGTGCAGTATTTTATTGATTGAGAGAAAACAGCAAGTTGTTGTCCATAAATACTATCTGCCCTCCTTGGGCTCCATATCCCTGCATTCAACCCACTGCAGATTGAGAACACTTCGCTAAAAATTACACCTGTGCTGAACATGTCCAACCTTTTTTCTTGCCATTCCTTAAAAATGCAGTATAACAACTATTTGCATAGCATTAGGTGTTACAGGTTATCTAGAGATAATTTATACAGGATAGGTTAAATACAAATACTACCCATTTTATTTAAGGGACTCCATTGTCAACAGATTTTGGCATAAGGGTGTCCTAGAACCCTGCCCCCCACCATGTATGCAGAGTGATGAATGATTGTTGAAATACAACATATACATTCAAAAGACAATAGGGCTCAACATTTATTGTCATGAAAAGATTTGCATGCAGCGTTTTTAAGTGAAAAAGTAGATTTTACAATGGCAGGCATTTAATTGTCCTATTTAGATTTTATTTGTATGTGTAGATGGAATAGCTCTGGAAGATATTAAAAAAAGAATTAATAGTTTTTTGTTGTGGGATTATACCATTACTACGGTGGCATGTGCATCTTTAAAACTGGAATATTTGAAAAGTTATTTCTCACACCTATAATCCTAGCTATTCAGGAGGCAGAGATCAGGAGGATCATGGTTCAAAGCCAGCCCCCAACAAATAGTTAGCAAGACCCTATCTCAAAAAAAAAAAAAAAAAACCAACCCATCAGAAAATAAGGGCTGGTGGAATTGTTAACGGCACTGGTGCAGTCTGTGATCAGAACACTTTCAAATTCTTTATGTACCACTGAGAAGAATCCATGGCAGGACACATGGGTATAAGGAGGTTTATTAAAAGTTAGGGAAGAGAAATACCAAGGGAAGCATGTTGGGGCCAATGTGCAATCTGGAGGCCAAGAGAACGTGTTTCTGCTCTTCAGGTGTTTTTAAAACCTACGATAACCTATGGTAAGGGGAGAACCAGGTGATTCCTATCCAATAATCAAGAACTGGGGAGGGGCGTAAGCAGTTCCCAGCCAGATAAGGGTGGTTCCTGAGCTAAAGCATG